CCTCAAGGCACATGTGCACAACACTTGGGTGATGGGTTTATTTCATGCTCTGCGTGCATGCTGTCACTAAGGGAGAACTCAGGGTGGCCTGGGATCCTCTGGCTTAGGGAAGAGAGTCGTCCTCCTCCTCCTCTCTCCAGAGACCCTGTCATGGCCCTCCTCCCTGGGCTACAGCTCTAGGCCTTGGCCGGTTACAGCCTGGGCTGCCCGCCATGGGGTATGGCCTCACCAGGGGCTGGGTCAGACTTGCATGTCGCCCACATCCAGAATCCAATGAAGAAGAATTGGCTGCACACTACCCCCACCACATACACCAGGAAGAAGATGTGGTCGGCATCCTCAGCCCAGCTCCTTGACTCCTTCACTCCGGGAGCTTCTGGTGGGGGAAGAGGCAGGGAAAGGAGCTGTTTTTCAGGGCTCCCCCAACATGCTGGCCCAGAGCAGGAGGCTGAACCCTGGGGGCTGTCAGCCTGGATCTCTCCCTTCCTTAGATTCACAACTGCTGAATGTTTCAGTCCGGCCTGTTCCAGGCCATCTTGAGCTGAAGAAGCCCTTGTAGAGAAGCTCTGATAACAAGCACCCTTGTTATCTCAGGGAGTTTGAAGTCACCTGGGCCCTTAGGGAAGCTGCCGTTGCTCCCTGCTCCATACCTGCGTCTTCCAAGGGCAGGCACGGAGGACCCCAGGGACAGCGGAGCTAGCAGAGTGAGTGCCTGGAGCCTCTAAATAACCTCGTGATCCCCAGCGTCAGCCCTAAGTGCGCAGCCTGCCAGCTCTGCCCGTCAAAGCTGCTCCTAGACTTATGCCTCCCTCTACCCCTGCCCCAGTAAGGGTTCCCTGCCCACCTTCAGGATGCGGCCCCAGGTCCCCATGATCTTGCTGCTCCCCTCTTGGGGTTGGGATGGGGCTGCTTCTGGCCCTGAGGTGGCCCCGGGCCTGCAGTGCAGCCAGCAGCATGGTCTCCATGGTGCTGATGAAGAGCAGCAGCAGTAGCACGGTGAAGTAGTAAACTGGCGGGGCAGGAGGGTGTGGTGGGGTCAGGGCCAGGCCTGCATCCCCCGGTGCCCAGAGAGATGAGCAGAACACGCCCCTGCCCCCTCCCAGGGCTGGGTGAGGGGCACATGACTTACTGAGCAGGGGGTTGCAGGAGGAGGAGCTGGGCAGTGCCTGCACCAGGGAGGAGTGGAAGACCAGATAGCCCAGCAGCAGGGTCACCTTGTAGGCAATGCGCTCGGTGGCCCGGAGGGGCAGCAGCCCCCCGCACATGTCCGCTAACAACAGCGCCTCCCCAGGTACCAGCAGAGCTATGATGGCCTTCAGCGCTGTGTTCTGCAGGCGCAACTGGGAGAAAGTTGGGGCTTTGTGGGAGGGCATCAGGGGCCCGAACCGCTGAAGGGTGGCCCTGTGGCCTCTGCCACATGCTTCACACCCCTGCCAGCCCTGTGTGCGCCATGTCCCATGTCCTGACTCACCGTCACCTGGAAGCAGGGCACCAGCTGCCGGGGAGGGATTTGGGTCTCCAGACCCCAAACTACATATTCCCTCTTGACACTCACAATCTCGTTCACTGCATGGGCTCGGAACTCCAGCTCTAGCACTGGAAGGGGGCAGGGGAAAGTGATGAAGCAGGAAAAAGGTCCCCCTGGTCCTGACTCTCTCTTGGGAGTGAATGGCAGGGACTAGCCAGGTGCCCAGGGCTGATGGAGACTTCTGATGGTGGCTGGGGGCAGACCAGGAGGTTAGCATGCTCTGTGCAACACCCCACATTCCCTCCAGCTGGGGGAAGGGCCTCCTCAGGTTCACAGGTGAATTTTCATTATGAAACTAAATGCATGTGGCACCACTTCTCAGAGGGGGGTGTGGTTATGGATGCATCCCCCAGTATATCTCATGCCTGCAGTATTAGCCTCAGGGGGCAGCTGCTGTAGTATTTCCTAGAAGGCAGGGATGTGAGGCAAGGGTTGGGGGTTCTGGGCCAAGCTGGATATCCCTCGTGGGTCTATGGGATATTTACTGGATGGTTACACCTTTAGGATGCTTCTGGGAGTAGGCTGCAGCAACCTTGGCCTCTGGCCTTGACAAAAGCAGTGCAGACACTGCCGTTTGGCCCTGGCTGTTAAGGGCGGCTGTAGTGGGGGCCGCAGCCCGGAGCAGGGGAGAGCTTGGAGGTGGGCTGCCATTTGAGTGGGAAGTGCAGGTGAGAGGCACGCTCTGCTCTAGGATCTCTTCAGCTCCCCTAAGCCTGAGGTGGCCCAGTATGAACACAGGCTGGCTGAAGGCCCCCCCAGGGCCCCCCCCAGGTCACATGTCTGCTGGAGGCCAGAGGCTGCACCTCCCCCCTCCCCGCCTCCAGCTCCTGTCCTGTCAGCACCGGTGTTGCTGAGAGCATAGAAGCTGAGGTTGCAGTCGCTCTGGTCCCTGGGGAAGTGGAGGAGCTCAAAGTCACAGTTGGTCTCCGTGGTGAGGGCCAAATACAGGTCGACGTGGCCATCAGGGCCCACTCTGGCCCGCGGGCTCTGGTCCTGCCAGTCCACCCAGAGCCTGTTGTGGAGGAGGGAGATACCACAGCTGGAGGCTCGGCTGCTTCTCAGAAGGGGGTGGAGGGGGAGACCCTAGCATAGCCCAGCTACCCTCTACTGGCATCCAGGTTCCAGAAGGGTGAGGGGGGCACAGGACAGTGGGGTGCACCTGTGGCCTGGCAGGGCCACCAGAGGGGCAGAGTCACTAAAGAGGACCTCCTGGCCCAGGAACTCCCTCCTCACTTACGCCTCCTGAATAGTGAGTCCCGGAGTCCAGAGTGAGTCCCAGGGCAGTGTGAGTGCATGCTGTGGGTACAGGCTCGCATTCCAGGCCAGGCGAGTATCCACCCAGGACTGGGGACGTAAAGAAGGCATTAAGGCTCCCGCTCCCGAGTATCTACAAGTCAGTTGGCTTGGCAGTTTGATGAAGGCTGGTACTTCTGAGCTGGACAAGAGAAGGGTCTCCAGTCCCACCTTCCCCGCCCCCTGCCCCAGACACTCACCAGCCGAAGCAGCAGCATGGAGGACACTGTGTACCGCAGGATGTCCTGAGGGAGGGGCAGTGTGTCACCTGGGGGTGGGCGCAGGGGGACAGAAGAGGCAGGAGCCCCCACCGCTTGCTGGGGCTCAGTGGTTAGTGCCCTGCTCTCTCTTTGGCCTGAGGACACTTACCACATTAAACACATTGGACACGAACACTTGCACATCCACGAGCAGGGGCGCGCTGCCATTGTTTGGAATCTGGATGGTTTCCTGAACCCCCTGGGGCTGGCTGAAGTTGAAAAAGGATGGCCAGGCTGAAGGACAGAAGTCAAGGTCATTTGGGTGGGAGCCCTGGCTGCCAAATCCCAGAGCTTAATGACTTTACCTTCTCCACCTACCAACTGTTGGCGAGCGAAAGCCCCGCCCCTGGACCAAGGGCCCCGTGGTGCCCAGCCTGAGGAAGGCCAGCAGCAGCAGCAGGAGCCGCGGGGCCATCGTCAGTGGCTGCATGGAGGGCTGGATGGAGCAGCACAGCCTAAACTGCAACCTCAGTTTCAGTTGCTTCTCCGGGGGCCTGGGTGGTTAGTCAGAGGCAGCTGCTCTGTGCAAGAGCTCTGGGGCCTTGGAGCTGGCACCCCACCCTCACCCTCACCCCTGAGCCAGGGTTCCGCAAACACCTGAAGACAAAGCCCAGGACCCAGCCCCGCCCACTGTGCACCTGCCTAGGCTTCCCGGCCCCGCTTCATTTCCACCATCTGGAATCAGCCCTATTCAAAGACTGCCAAGTGGATCAGGCAAGTACAGATTCCCCCCAACAAACACACACACACACACACACACACACACACACACACACACCCCTTTCCCAAACTCGGTCCTTCCAGTCTGGGCAGATGCCACAGGCCTTCCCTGCTTTCTTGTAGCGGGTGCCTGCTGGGTTAAATATTCAAGCCCTTGCCAAAGTGCCCTGCGCTCAACATCCTGAGATCCATACATGCCGGAGTTTTCCTGCGTCTGCTCAAACACTGAGCTGATTAAAAAGCCTTGAAAGGCTCAAGAACCCCAGGAGTGGGGCAAACTTGGGGCAGGGCAACGGGATTCACCGCCTGCTCCAGCCCAGCAGTGCCTTAGAAGCGCTCCTGGGTGCCCTGAAGCAGGACTGGTGGGGGTGAGGGGCAACTTTTCCTGGCCTCATGGAAACTCATCTGCTGGAGGCCTGACTCGGGGCAGCTATAGCCTGTAGCCAGGGAAGGAGCCCCAAGGCTGCAAGTGGGTGAGCACTGATCTGGCTGCAGACACTCCAAACGCCCCAGAGAGCTGGGAGTAGGGAGTGACCTGCCACTCGCTGGTGCTTGAACATTACTCCGAACATGCATAGTGTCTGCGCCTCCCCGACTTACGGACCTCGCTTAAGCACTCGGCCTGCCTTTGTCGCAGGCACAGCTGGCCGCTGGTGCGGCCTTGCATGTATGCCAGGCGCCTCTGGATGGCCGTGTGCAGAGAGCCTTCTTTGACCCGTGCTCCCCAGTCAGGGATTTCTATGGGGACTTTAACTTGGCTGCCTTGGCTGCAGGCCACTCTCTTTCTCTGTGGCTCAGCAGAGCACCTTGGGCGCATTCATCCAGAGCTCCCCCGTCAAGTCCCAGAGGCTGCAGATCACAGAGCCCCACAACTGTGAGATATGTGGACACACAGCGCGTGATTTCACATGAAAAGGTTTGCATCTTTTTTAAAAAAGATTTTATTTATCCACAAGACACACACACACACAGAAGCAGAGACACAGGCAAAGGGAGAAGCAGGCTCCGTACAAGGAGCCCGATGCGGGACTCGATCCGGGTACTACCGGGATCAGGCCCTGGGCCGAAGGCAGGCGCTAAACCGCTGAGCCTCCCAGGGATCCAGGTTTGTGTATTTTATTAACAGAGGAAATTCCCTCCCTGATCCCTCGCCCCCCGACTCCAATCCTTTAACACAAAAGCATAATCGCTAAGTGTCCTCAGGTCGCATTAACCGTCGGGATGCCACTGGGGGCATTTCGGTCCCGCCAGGACGGGCCGGGCACCAGGCTCAAGGCTGGGCTGCTGAGAGGCGCCAGCACAGGGGCGGGGGACCCGGCCGCCTCGCTCACGTGCGTCAGGTCGGTGGACTCGCGCTCCAGCACGCTGCTGCCTCGGGGGCCCTGCGCCGCGATGCACACGCGGCCTGAGGCTCTCCGAGGGGCACGGCGCAGCAGCCCCGCACAGATCTTGCGGAAGCCCTTGCGGAAGTGCTTGGAGACGAGCGCGTAGACGATGGGGTTGACACAGGAGTTGGCATAGGAGACCAGGTGCGAGAAGATGCGCAGCGCGTACGTGGCAGGCGTAAGCGGGAAGCGGCCGAACCACACGCAGAGGATAAGCGCGTGGTGAGGCATCCAGCAGAGGCAGAAGAGCGCCGCCACGATGATGATCATGCGCGTCACCTTGCGCTTGGCGCGCCGGGCGCTGGAGCCCGCGGCCACCGGGTCAACCGCGCGCCAGAGGTAGCGCAGGGTGCGCGCGTAGGTCAGGCCGAGCACCAGCATGGGCAGCAGGTAGCTGAAGACGAAGGTGCAGAGGTCCATGGCGCGGCGGCGAGGCGCGCTCCACGCCGGGTGGCACACAGTCAGGTTGGCCAGCTGCGACTGGCGGTAGTAACTCAGGTAGGGCCCGGAGAAGAGCAGCGACAGCCCCCAGATGAGCCCGATGGCAGCCAGCGCGTTTCGAGGCGTGCGCAGCTCGCGAGAGTGCAGCGGGTAGCGGATGGCCAGGTATCTGTGGGGCAGGCCGGGAAGGGGGACGGGTGAACTGCTGGATTCGCGGGGCGCAGGGCCGGACCCTTGCACCTCGAACCCCTCACCCTCTCTCCACGAGGGTGCCCAGCGCACGGTGGCAACGCACTGGCCCGGGAGCAGCCCAGACACTCGGCTGCTTTGAGATGCGGGGCGGGACCCCGCGGCAGGGAAGGGGCGCGTGTAGGCCACTCATCTGCTCTTCCCGGGACTGACCACAGTCACACTCCAGCCGGGAGGGCACCCCAAAGTTGAACCGGCTTTGGGGCTGTGATGACCCACCAGTGAGGGTGCCCGGAGAGGTTAAGACCCAGGCTCCTTGAGCCTGGAGACATCGCGAGGGACTTGCTTAGGGAAGCAGACGCTCTATGGGTCCCACCAGCACACTCCGCGCTCGACGGAACTGGGAGGTATATGGGGGGGGGGTGTTCACCTCGCTGCCCGCCCAGGGAGGGTCAGGAGGACCTGGGGGTTGAAGGGGCCGCGGAGATATTGGACTTGGACCCAGATTTCCTCCCCAGGAATCATCCCGGTGTCCTTCCGACCGGGGCGGATGGGGGAGACCCTCCAGCGCTCTCCTCTCCCTGGGCCTGGGGCGGGGAGGGGTTGGGGCGGGCGTGTTCGCTTGAACTTTGGTGTGAGCCCTTGCGAAGGACCCACATTCCGCAGCCCGGACCAGAGTCGACTGCGCGGAGCAAACCGTGGCTTCGAGGCCAGCGAGGCGGAGGCGCCTGAGTCTCCAGGAGACACCCCGTTGGCTGTCCTGAGGCACACGATTACTGGATGGGCGACTCTGAACACATCGCTTCCGACCTCGATCTCATCCGTAAACGGGGCGCAGTAATCCTCCCGTCCCAACCTCACAGGGGCACCCAAGCCGGACGAAGCCGCGAAATTGCGATGTGCGCGGGAAACGCCGGTTTTGCCAGGCGCCCGCGGCGGCGCTGGAGAGCCGAGGTCCGCCGCGGGGAGCCGCGAGCGCGCACCTAACGGAGGGGCGCCGCAGTCCCCCGATCTTACTCGTCTCGCCCCTTGTCCCTTGCCCACCCCGGCTTGTGTTTCACTCTCTCCCGGTTCCTTTGCCTACTGAGCGCCCTTTTCTACTCTCCGCGCGCCCCTCCTCCAGCCTCCAGTCCCGCTTTCTTCTCCAGCCCACACCTGGGTGCCTGACGCTCCCCGCCCCCAGGGGGCCCGCCAGGGCGCTCGCTCACCTGTCCAGGGAGACGGCGGCCAGCGTGAAGCTGCTGGCGTACATGGTGAGGAAGATGAGGAAGTGCACGGCCTTGCAGAGCAGCGAGCCGAACACCCAGCCGTCCAGGGTGTAGATGGTGGCCTGGAAGGGCACGCAGCACAGGATGAAGCACAGGTCGGCCACGCCCAGGTTGAGGATGAACAGGTTGGTGGTGCTGACCGCCTGGCCGCCGCGCAGCAGCACCGCCAGCACCAGGGCGTTGCCCACGGTGCCCACCAAGAAGATGAGCGCGAACAGCATGGGCACGATAACCGCCTCGGGCTGCCAGCCGTCCCTGCCGCCCGCCTCCCTCGCGTCCTCGGCCCCGGGGCCGCCCGAGCCGTTCATGGCGCCCCCGACCCGGGGCTGCCCGAGCTCCTGCCGCCGTCTGGGTTCCGGGGAGCCCGGCGCTCCCGCGGTTGCAGCTGCTGCGGCGCCCAGCGCGAGCCGCCCGAGCTGCGGGCGGAGCAAGCCTTGACCGGCCGGGGCGGGATGTGGGGGTGCGCGGGGGTCAGGGGGAGGAGCGAGCAGCCGGAGGGGTGGGCTGGGCCCCGCCGCGGCCCTGCGCTCGGGGAAGGGCTGGGGGACGGGTTGCGGTGGCCCGCCGGGGGACCCGGGCCGTCGGCGACGGCAGCGCGCTCCAGCGCCCCGGGCCTGTCTGGGCGGCCGGGAGCGCCCCGCCTGGGACCGCGCGTCCCTCTCCTGCGGCCCGGCCTCCCCGGAAGATTCCCGGGCGACCCTAAGCGGGGCGGGGAGGTGACCAGCGCGGAGGTGAACGGAGGGGCCGCGGCTTTCCACAGCCGGGAGGGGCCCGCCCGCCGCCTGCTCCGCGCCTCTTCTGTGCGCCAGTCCCTGCCCTTGGCGCTGTGCCTCAGTTTCTTTGGCCCCGGGGGATCACAGTACCTTCTGGGAGGGCTCTAGTGAGCACGGACTGAGATGGGCGGCCTGAAGCCAGTTAGTTGAATCTCAGCCAATCAAGGTCCTGTCTCCTTGCCTTAGATATCCAAAAAGGGAAAACATTAAGGAAATGCAAAAGAGCAGAGTTCCCTGCCCCAGGAGCGTTTTTTCCTGCGTGGTCAGGAAGGTGTTTAGGTTGCAATAAAACTCAAATACTTGTTTCTGATTTTAACGTATTAAGCATCTAGCGCTTGTGACTCGGAATCATTGCTGTTTCTGTAGGATTATCCACATCCCCCCCTCCCGGATCACTGGGTCTGAAAATCATCACCTTCTGCCACTGAAGTGTGACCTCTGCTTCATTTCTCTGCCCTGCTCGTTGGGTCCCAGTGTGGAACATTCCTTTTCCTCCTCCCACCCGCACCCCAGAATCTCAGCCCTGAAGCCTACTCCCACTCCTTGGTCAGGGAAACATTATCCATACCCCTGCCCTGCCTGCCTATTCAGGGATAGAAAGACAGCAGTTCATGTTCATGAGTTGCTTGCCATTCATTCATTCATTCATTCATTCATTCATTCAGCATTCATTAAGTATCTACCCCTTTCCAGACATTGTTCTGGGTCCTTAGTATATACTGGTGAGCTCTAGAAAGATCAAGGCCTTCCATGAACTTACTCTTCGCAGAAGAGACAGACAATAAACAAAATTCAAGTGAGTTTTTTAAAGATTTTATTTATTCATGAGAGACACACAGAGAGAGGCAGAGATGCAGGCAAAGGGAGAAGCAGGCTCCATGTAGGGACCCCGATGTGGAACTCGATCCCAGGACCCCAGGATCACTCCTGGAGCTGAAGGCAGATGCCCAACCGCTGAGCCACCCAGGCGTCCCTCAAGTGAGTTATTAACCTATTACAAATTGATAAATACTAGCAGGAAAAGTAGATCAGGGTAAGGGAATTGGGAGTACCATAGCGGTGGTGATGGTGCAATTTAAAATAAGGTGGCCAGGGTCACTGGGGTGGATCAGTCAGTTGAGCATCTGACTATTTTTTTAAAATATTTTATTTATTTATTCATGAGAGACACACAGAGAAAGAGAAAGGCAGAGACATAGGCAGAGGGAGGAGCAGGCTTCATGCAGGAAGCCCGATGTGGAACCCGGGCTCGGGTTCTGGAACCCTGGGATCATGCCCAGAACCAAAGGCAGACACTCAACCACTGAGCCACCCAGACATCCTGAGCTCTGACTCTTGATTTCAGCTCAGGTCTTGATATCAGGGTGGTGAGTTCAAGGTCTGCATTGGGCTCCCCGCTGGGCATCAAACCTACTAAAATAAAAAAAAAAATAAAATAAAATGCACTAAAATAAAATAATAAAAATAAGGTGACCAGATAGACTTCATTAGGAAGATGACATTTGAACAAAGGCTTGAAGGAGATGAGGGACCTAGAGTAGCAAGTATCTAGGGGAAGAGCATTCCAAAGAGTCAGTGCGAAGATTCCAAAGCAAGAATATGCCTGTGTCCCTAAATAAGGAAGCTCCTATGGCTTGAGTTGATGAACAAGAAGGAGATTGGCAGGAGATGAGGTGACAGGCATAACACTGAGGGCTTTTTCCATTGCAAGGAACATGGCTTCTAGTCTGAGTGAAATGAGGAGCCACTGCAAAGTTTTGACCAGAGGACCAACACCACCTGACTTACTTTAAAAAAAAAATCTTCAGTGAAATATAATCCCCATAACATACAATTTATCCACTTAAAGGGTGCATTTGGTTTTTTTTTTTTTAGAAATATTCTTTTTTTTAAATATTTTTTAATTTTTATTTATTTATGATAGCCACAGAGAGGGAGAGAGAGAGAGAGAGAGAGGCAGAGACACAGGCAGAGGGAGAAGCAGGCTCCATGCACCGGGAGCCCGACGTAGGATTCGATCCCGGGTCTCCAGGATTGCGCCCTGGGCCAAAGGCAGGCGCCAAACTGCTGCGCCACCCAGGGATCCCCTGCATTTGTTTTTTAATATATTCAGAGTTATGCAGCCATCACATATAATCAATTTTAGAACATTCTTCCCCAAAGAAACTCCTGCCCTTTCTTTACCCATCAATCTCCAATCTCCACCCCTACCCCCAGCCCCAGGCAATCATTTTCTGTCTGTATGGATTTGCCAATTCTGGACATTTCTTTTTTTTTTTTTAATTCTGGACATTTCAAGTATATTTTTAATTTTATTTTCTTAAGGTTTTATTTGTTTATTTACTTATTTAAGTAATCTCTACACCCAATATGGGGCTCAAACCCATGAGCCTGAGATCAAGAGTCACAAGCTCTACCAACTGATCCAACCAGGTGCCCTGTACATTTCATATAAATGGACTCCCATGATATGTGGTCTTTGGATGGCTTTATTCACTTAGCATAGTATTTTCAGGATTTGTCTGCTTTGTAGCATATATAAGTACTTTGTTGCTTTTTATGGCCAAATAATATTCCATGGTATGGTGATACCGATTCTATTTATCCATTCATTTGTTTATGAACATTTGGGAAACTTTTTTAAAAACTAGCAGCTAATAAAGTAACATCTTTTTTTATTTTTATTTTTTAAGATTTTATTTATTTATTCATGAAAGACACACAGAGAGGGCAGAGACCTAGGCAGAGGGAGAAGCAGGCTCCCTGTGGGGAACCCGATGCGGACTCGATCCCAGGACCCCAGGATCATGACCTGAGCCAAAGGCAGACGCTCAACCGCCGAGCGACCCAGGCATCCCTGGGAGAATTTTTTTAAAATATATTTTATTTTATTTTATTATTAGTAATCTCTACACCCAACATGGGGCTTGAACCCACAATCCTGAGATCAAGAGTCTCACACTCCACTGACTGAGCCAGCCGGGTGCCCTGAGACCTATTTTAGTTTTTAATTGTGGTAAAGTACACAGAACATACAATTTACCATCTTGGATATGTTAAAGCGAACTATTCAGTAATATTAAGTATATGCAAGAGTGCCTGGGTGGCTCAGTCGGTTGAGTGCCCAACCCTTTGTTTCAGCTCAGATCATGATCTCACACTCCTGGGATCAAGCTCCATGTCAGGCTCTGCACTGAGAGGAGAATCTGCTGGAGATCTCCTCTCTCCCCCTCTCTGTTCCCCTCTCCCTGCTCTTTCTTTAAAAATAAATAAATCTTTATTTTTTTAAAATTTATTTATGATAGTCACAGAGAGAGAGAGAGAGAGGCAGAGACACAGGCAGAGGGAGAAGCAGGCTCCATGCACCGGGAGCCCGACGTGGGATTCGATCCCGGGTCTCCAGGATCGCGCCCTGGGCCAAAGGCAGGCGCCAAACCGCTGCGCCACCCAGGGATCCCATCTTTAAAAATAAATAAATCTTTAAAAAAAAAGTATATTCATGTTGTTGTGCAAACAATCTCCAGGACTTGTTAATCCTACAAAATTAAAACTCGGTATCCATTAAACAATAATTCCCCTTTCGCCTGCCTCCAGCTCCTAGTAACCATCATTGTACTTTCTATGAATTTGCACTAGATACCTCATATAAATGGAATCATACCATATTTGCCTCTTTGTGATAGGCTTATGTAACTTAGCACAATATTTTCAAGCTTCAGCCACGTCGAAGCTTGTGTCAGAATTTCCTTCCTGTTTTTTAAAAAAATATTTTACTGATTTATTCATGAGAGATACAGAGGGAGGCAAAGACATAGGCAGGGGGAGAAGCAGGTTCCCTGTGGGGAGCCTGATACAGGACTCGATCCCAGGACTCCATGATCATGACCTGAGCCAAAGGTACACGCTCAACCACTGAGTCACACAGGTGCCCAGATTTTCCTTCCTTTTTAAGGCTTAATATTATTCCAATGTATGGATATACCACTTTGTTTATTCCTGGAGCACCACTGGGTTACTTCCATCTCTTGACTATTGTTAATAATGCTTCTATGAACATGAATGTACAAATACCTCTTGGAGATTCTACTTTCAATTCTTGTGGATATACACCCAGAAGTGGAACTACCAGATGGAATCATAATTCTTCAGTTTTCCAAAGAACCATCATACTGGTTTTCGCAGTGGCTGTGCCATTTTACATTTGCACCAAAAGCACACCAAGGTTCCGATTTCTCCATATCCTCTCCAATACATGGTATTTTCTTTTATCACTATTTTTTAAAAATAGTAATGATCCAGGGGCACCTGGGTGGCTCAGTCCATTGAGTGTCTGACTTTGGCTGAGGTCACAATCACTGGGATTAGCCAGGCTCAGCGAGTCCAGGTTGGGGAGTCGGTTGTGGCAGGGGTGGTGTCCATGCTCGGTAGGGAGTTGGCCTGTCTCTTGCCCTCTGACCCCCCCCGCCCACTTGTGGGCTCCCTCTCAAATAAATAAATAAATAAATAAATAAATAAATAAAAATCTTAAAAAAAAATAGTAACCATCCAAAAAATAAAAATTAAAAAAATACAGTAATCATCCTAATGGATATGAAATGATAGTTCATCGCG